ATCTCTTCCTCTTGGATTGTTCCCTTTACAAGGATGTAGTGGCCTTCTTTGTCTCTCTTAATTTGTTTTGTTTTGAAATCTACTTTGTCTGCAAATAAGACAGCTACCCCCATTTTGTCAGGCTTGTGTCTCATGGAGAACTGTTTTCCATCCTTTTACTTTCAGTCTATGAATTTATTTGTGAACTGAGTGGGTTTCTTATATACAGCATAATGTTGGATTTTTTCTCTTAATCCATTCTGCTAGTCTATTTCTTTTGATTGGTGAATTGAGGCCATTAACATTGATGATTATAACTGATATATATTGGCTTATCCTTGTCATGTTATTTTCTGTTGTTGGCTCTTTTATTTTTTATCCCCCCCCCCTTTAATTTCTTGCCTTTCCTGCTGGATTTGCTCTCTTGGGGCTTATGCAGTTGTGACCTTCATTTTTTTTTTCCAGGATATTGTTTAGAATTGTTTGGAGTGCTGGTTTGGTATTCATGAAATTTCTCAGGTGTTCTTTGTCATGGAAGTATCTTATTTCTCCATCAATTTTGAAAGACAGTTTTGTAGGATACATCAGTCTAGGTTGGAGGTTGTTTTCTTTTAGGGCTTGAAATACCTCACTCCAGGCTCTTCTGAACTTGAGGGTTTGTGTTGCAGAGTCGGCTGTGATTCTTATGGGCTTTCCTTTGTATGTGATTTGTTTCTTTTCTCTAACTGCTTGTAGTATTTTGTTCTTCTGTTGGGTTTCAGGGATCTTGATTATTATACATCCAGGTGCAGATTTTTTTATCATGGCTAGTTGGAGTCCTATATGCCTCACTCATCAGTATGTCAAATCCTTTCACTCTGTTTGGGAAGTTTTCTGTCATTAATTCTGTGAATAGTTTTTTTATGTCATTTGTACTTTCTCCTGATTTTTCATGGATTCCTATCAGTCTTATATTATTCTTCTTTGCATTGTCTAGGAGTTGCTGGATTGATTTCTCATGGTCCCTTACTATTTTTAAGAGTTCCCTTTTTTCATGATCACTGAATGCAATCCTGTCTTCTATATCTGATATTCTGTCTTCACATTAGCTCATTCTGCTGGGAGTTCTTTCAATAGAGTTTTTAATCTCCTGGATATCTGTTTGAATCTGTTTCATAGATTCCATTTGTTTCCTATGCTGGGCATTCATCGTTTCCATCATGGTCTTGAGCTCATCTATTTTTTTATCTGTTTCTGTTCTAGAGTCTCTAATCATGTCTTTCATTCTGCTATCTCTGTGGTTATCTGGGAAATTATTTCTGTTTTGAATTTTTCTAGCACTTCATTCATCTGTTTTATTACTTCCTTTGCCATTAGTGCAGGGTGTCCAGATGATTGATTATCAGAGTTTCCCACCTCATTTCCCCCAGAATTTGCCTTTGGTGAACTGGTAGCCTGATTTTGTGCCTTGCTTAGGTGTCTTTTCATTTCTATTTTTGTTGTTGGTACTGTTTTGGTTCAATTCCTGGGTTGATACTTCAATATTGCTTATTGTAAGTGTCTTTGTTGCTTGTATTTAGAACCTTTATGGAATGATTGTTTCTCAGAAGTGTCTTCCAGATATATCTCGCCTTTAGGTTTTTGAGTCTCTAATGACTCTTAGGCTATCTTTTTTTCCATATACCAGGAAGGACAACTGATTAGATCAATCACAACATCTAAGCCCAAGAGATACAATCAGCAACAACAATAGCATCAAGCAGTTTAGAAAATGACAATTTGTGGTAGCTATTAATCTATCATTTTTAAATAAGTGTATTAGATCAAAATTGAGGACCAGCCCAAAATATGTCTGTAGTGAATAAACTTCAATATAGCAACTTTACCCTTTGAGATGGGTTCTTAGAAGAAGTTGGAGAGGGAGGGATAGATAGGTGTGATAGGGAAAGGTTAGAAGTAAGGCCAGAGGGCACAGGAAGATCATGTAAACTCTAGGAAGCTGTTGAAAAGAAGAGGAGAAAATAGAATGAAAGAACAAACACAAGAACAGAACAACCTAACAGTAATAGGGAGGCTAGAAACTGTACTCACTTTCCTTTAAAGCTAATGACAATCAAGAGAAGGAAAAAGAGAAGAAAAGTAAGAAAAAAAGAAATTTCAATTAGGACAGGAACAGGAATAAAAAGGGAGAGAAATGAAAAACAAGGTGGGAGGGGGAGAGTGAGAGAGAAAGAAAGAAAAGAAAAAAGAAAAGAAGAGAAAAAAGGAAAAAATTTGAAAAGAAAAGAATAGATAAAAATTAGAAAAAATATTAAAAATAAAGAGAAAAAAATTACTTTGTCAATTTTCTAAAGGAACTGAGACAAAGAGAAGTTAAAAGATTTGCTTAAATTCCTTTAACAGACTGGAATAAGACCTTAGGCCTCTAGACTAGATGAGGGACATTTCTACAGAGTATTCAGGTCAAATGACTGAATCGACTTGCAGCTTTTTATTATTAAGGGGAATAGATCAGTGCAGGGACATTTTTTATTCCTTCCCTCCTCCAACTTTGTCCTGGAATGTTGTTCCCAAACATACTTAATGTTTGTTTTGCTCTTTCTCTCCTTATCACCCTCCACAATTATTGAAAGGTTTCCAAGAGGTCAATGGTTATTATCCTTACTCAAGAATAATCAGCTGGCCCTGGTTGAGGGATGTTTTGTAAATTTCCATAGTTTGGATGTTTGCATTTGAATAAAGCAAACCCAATTCCAATTGGTTCAGATGGTTATAAATTTTACTACCCTTGAAAGAACATTTTATTCTGAGATGAAAACACAAGTTCTATCATGCTTTTCAAAGGGTCATATAACAGAAGATAGCTCAGAACAGGGCCAGTTGGCTTCCTGCTGGGGCAGAGGGCTTTTACAAGGTACTTGTAGCCATTATATAAGATAATGGGGTTGTAGAGAGTCTAGAAGGTCAGAGCTTATAAGGAGTTTCATGATATATATACTGTTCCATATGATTCAACTGAGGACAGTGGGTGGGGAATCCTGAGATTAAATCATAACATGGCATGAGCTCTGAGACAAAGGTCAGGCAGGTCTAGGCTGTAGTCAGGTGAGTATAAAGCTAATGGGTATAGGACAATGGTGGAAACCTGTGACATGTGTGCCACTGTAGGCTGTTTGTATCATTGAAAGCTCTAAAAGGTTCACCACCACTGGTATAGGGGATCTTTAGGAGTTTTTTTGTTTTGTTTTGTTTTGTTTTGAGTACCAGGGATCGAACTTGGGTCCTTGTGCTTGCAAGGCAGGCGGCAGAACCACTAGGCTAAATCTCTGGCCCCAGGAGTCTTAATAAGACCCATGCAGGTCAAGCTTCAGGCATGGCTTAATCACAGATCATGCTCCATATCTCTGAAATTCTCTCAGCTCTTCCTTCCTTCAGATTTTGGCTGTGTCACTTGTGCTTACCTTCTGGTCCCAGGATGACAAAGATGTACTTTCTTATATATCCAGGGAATGGCTTATACCTAGATGTCCTCCCAAAGCCTCATGTGGTTATAGGTGGGGCTTTTTCAGAAGTGACTAGATCTAGAATGTGTGACTGATTCATGGTGCAATTCTAGGACTAAGAGTGTGAGTGCTAATCACCTTAAGGGTGAGTAGCCTGGATAAAATATAAGGGACAGAAAGAAGCTTGGTGTTAGTTATTTATTGTTGGTTAATTGGTTGCTTTTGCTGTCTTCTACCTGCCAAGAACTGTTTTTCCCCTGTGAGGCCCCTCTGCCATGTCAGCCTACCTTGGAGGCAGCTGATTATGGATTGAAACCTTTACAGACTGTGAGCTGAAATAAACCTTTTCTTTTTAAAATTTGGGTGTCAGGTATTTTGTCTCAGCAATGAGAAAAGTAACTAAGAAAGTGATTTCCACATTGCCTTGAGCCTGCCCTTATCCTTCAGCCAAAACCACTCTCCCCACTCCTGTCTACTTCTTCAAACCCTACATTGTCTTTCAGGGGCCAACCCAGGTGCTTTCTTATCTAGGGTAGCATCAGTCAGAGTGAATGACTCGTTTCCCTGTATTCCTAGCAAGACTCTGCTCCCCAACTGCGATTCCCACCACATTCTGCCTTCTTATGTCTTTTGACCCAATTGACTGTCCAGCCCTTGCAGGAATAACTGGGTCTCTGCCTTACTACAGGATCTAGCAAGGTTCTGACACATGGACATTCTCAGTACATGTGAGTTGAATGGAGAATGAAACAAACAAACAAAAGAATAAGAACCAAGGTCCTACCACTAGCAAGAGGTAACCTGGATTCACTCAAAATTCTTTCCCTAACTTGCCTCCAGGATTCTCTTTTCGTCTTCCAGGTGAATGCTGGGAGCCCCCTGCATGGAAACATGAAGCTGCAAATAGAACTTACCATTTCAAGGTGGGGCAGATAGTTCGCTACGAATGCATACAGGGGTACAAGGCCATACAGACAAGTCCCGTCATAAGTGTCTGCAAAATGACCTGTGGGAAGACAAAGTGGACCTGGCCCCAGATCACATGCATAAATGAAAGCAAGCTCCATTTGTTTGCAGGTAATAGGGTCCTTCCTTGTTCTCTCCATGTGGTCAATGGGATGAGATCCTGATTTCACTTGCATGTGACCTACAGAAAACCACTTGATCCTCTGGGCCTCAGTTTTTTTCTGATTCTGAAAAGATAGACCAGATGAACTCTATGGACTTCTTCACCTAAAATGGCCCTGTATCCTGGATGGTGATAGAGTCAGAGAAGGAAGAAAGTTCTCTCAGGTGTTCCCAAGCACCTATGATGCTGCCTCATGATGATAATGCTGTCCCTTGTCTATTGATCCTGAAATTCTACTTCCTTCAAGCTACCAAAACTTCCCTTGGTTGAAAAGGGAAAATCCATGTGGTCTTGCTTTTACTGGTGTATAATATAAATCCATCACTAGCACTGGTCTCCATTGTTTGTTTGTTTGTTTGTTTTGGTACCAGGGATCAAATTCAGGTCCTTGTGCTTGTGAGGCAGGTGGCGGAACCACTGAGCTAAATCCCCAGCCTGTAATGTGTTTTTTTGTTTGTTTGTTTGTTTGTTTTTTGTGGTCTCCACTGTTACTGTGCTCCTTCCCTGTGTGAGTCCCCACCTGAACTTTGATAAAAGTACAGATGTGCAAGAAAGGCGCTTTTTCAAGTGTGTACATGCCTACTACACACACACATACACACACACACACACCCCTACAAATATATAACCTGCCTGTGTTGAAGTATTCTTCTATCTTCATTTTGAAATCTTACTATTATTTCTACAATCAAAAGTTACATTCAATCATGGGCATTGCTAACCATCATTTCTTATAGCCCCTGACTTCCTCCAGAGTTCTGTGGGGAGGTTATTGCTTTCTCACAGCCTGCTCCAATGAGCCACCCTGATGGCATGACACTCACTTTTTTTGTAAGAGGCAAAGGAAGTAGGTCACTGGTCATGCCGAGAGGAAGAGAAAGGGCTACCCTTCATGCATTTCCCCTTCATCTGATGGTTCTCCAGTGTTTGTATTCTGACGTATTTCCAAGATGGGGTGGAAATAGGGACGCTGGGGAGGAAGGCTTGTTCAGAGTCTCACAGACAGCCAGATTCAGGGCCAGAATTCCCCCTTACCTGCTCTCCTGAGGCTACTTTGAGATAGATGAGAAGCACTTGGCTCTCTCTTTTCCTATACCAGCTAGAAAGGGGACACGACTTGGCAGGCAGCTAGTGCACCCCTGTCTCTTGATTCCCTTTTTTCTGCAATGAACTGGGACAGTTTGCTTCAGTGTCTTCTCTGGCTATCTAGTGGTGTCCTTGTTGGCTCTCAAACTACCATTCTTCATTCCAACATGAGTGCAGCCAGGCAGTGTATTGCCCTTGCCCCACTCTGCACATTTTAGGTAATATCATTGCTGTCTTGAAGAAGGTGGAGGATAAGGGGTTAAGATCAGAAAGGGAGGGGTCTGGGCCTCTTATTTGCATTCCTACCATTCACAACAAGCCTTCAACCCTGCCCCTCACTGAAACAGGCCTGCAACTGCTGTATAAGCAGCATTTCCCAGCCACTTCTTGCATTTAGTCTAAGAGGGCTCCCTCCTGTGTACTGACCTCCCTGTGGTGCAGCACAGGCCCAGTCAAAATAAAGACTTCCTTTGGTGGTCTTGTAAACCTGCTCATGTTTATTTCTCAGGCAGTATGGGCTTCCAAAAGTCCTATAGCTCTTTTGGGAATTTTTTATCCTGAGTAGTATGGACAAAGCAGTCATTTCAAAAGAAAGAGCAATAAACACTCAGAGTCAGTAACACCAAAATGTTCTAGAGACCAGCAGCCAATGAAAACCAGTGGCAGAGATCAGCACCCAGTGCAGTCGACCAACAATGTCCAGCACAATCCACCAAGGTGGTGGCTGGCAGTGGCAGAGTCCAGCACCTGGTAGCATTGACCTATAGTATCTGGCACAAGCCAGCATCAGACAGCAACAGCTGGCAACAGCAGGGACCAGCAGCTGGCTGTGTCAACTATTGACACCCAGCATTACTTGGTATCATCTGGTGACATCAGGACTGCTAGCAGAGCAGCAATTTGCCAATTCATGATTTCTATCTGAATCAAGCAAAAGAACCCTAGGTGTATGGGCAACAACTTAACTCCTTCACAGTGACTCTGACATGGAACTGTGTCACCAGAGATGTGCCCAAAGCAGGAGTCTTGTCTCAGCAGGCATATCTAGGGCCAGCTGTAGAAGGCTGGTGTGGGGAGAAGTGAGATTCCCATCAACCCATCTTGAGCTCCACAAGCATTGCTTATTTTCTCTCCCAGGTCAGGAAGACTCTCCTGCAAGCACAGACGCCCTTCCTGAAAGCAAGGCTTCCTGTCCCACCACATCAACAGGTATGGAAAGGTCTCATGAGGACAGAAGCTCACTCATTAAAGCCAAATCAGGAAAGGGCAGACCTTTCCTGACATACACCATTGCAGCAGATGGGCAAGGTGGGAAAGAGAAGCCAACACCAGCTGTCCCCTCCAGGGCAGGGACTGGCCTCATCAACCTGCATACCTCACTGAAAGTGTCAGAAAGGAACCACCAAGTTGGCAGTTCCTAGGCAGTGGGGTGATACATCTACCTCTGGCTGTGCCGGTCCCACATCCCTCTCACCAGGGAGGGATCATTGAGAAGCCCTCACTCTCTCCAGCCTCGTGTAGTCCTATTCTTGGCATAAACTGAGTGCTCCTCCTTTCTATTTCCACAGAGTTTTCAAAAGAGAGAGAAACAGCTACAACCATGGAGACTCCCATATTTCCAAGCGAGTATCATGTAGCAGGTTAGTGGGATCATTTTCTTTGTGGACGAAATGTACATCCAACTCAGACATGGACAGATTGGTTGGCTGGTTGAAATGATCCTTTCTTACAACATATAAAGTTTTAAGGATAAAAAGATGAATCTAGATACTAACATCATTCAAGAACCTGTTACAATATATTGTAACAAACGAGCCTCAGCCAGTTCCTGAGTGGACTGAAAGGGTGATACCTCATGTCCATTAGTGATAATGGACAAGCCAAGAAGAAGATGGAAGGGGCAGTACAGCCAGGGAGAGAGAGAATAGTTCCACAAACACAGCAGCAGTTTCCTCTAGGGGGGGAAACACATGCTTAAAGCTCCCTCTGCCTGGATAATAATAAATGACTGACTTCAGAACCTCTGCAGATCAGCATTTGGAAAATGTGAACACTTTCAGGAGATGTTAATGTGTTTATTTATCTTCTTGTTTCACTGTTTCTTTCACTTCATGAATATCTCATTCACAGCCTCCTTAAATAAGGCCTAGCCTATGAGCCTTTCTGAATTGCTTGTCCACCAGTTTGCCCCTGAGGAAAGGCACAGCACCTTTTCTTTAAGGCACACCCTCCATGCCCACCTACCTTGCTCTGACTCCTTGAGTCTCCCAAGAAACCCTTAGGGGAGGGACTTGCACTCCAAGAAGGGGAGGCAGAGCGACATCCACCCCTTCAAGAGGCCCTGCTCACATGGGGGACTTTCTTGCCTGCTTTATGGGCTCATCTCCTGGTGTTCCCAAAGTCCAGTCCCAGTGTCCCCTTGCTGAACTACCTCTCTGTTGACAGTGGCTGGCTGTGTTTTCCTGCTGATCAGCATCCTCCTTCTGAGTGGCCTCACCTGGCAGTGGAGATGGTGAGTTCACTACTGTTCAGGCAAAACTTTGTCAAAAGACAGAAATAGGCAAAGCACCCTGAGATTCATCCCCAGAAACAGCATAAGCACCATCTGTGAGTTTGCACTAGGCTAAAGAAATTAAGAATTAAGAAAAGCCAGCTTTCCCCTCCCTTTAGAGAGAAGACTGGAAGAGTCACTGTGTTGCTCTCTTGAGCACACAGTGTTGCTCTCTCTATCCAGCACACTTTACCACTTGTGCTAGGGTAGGCTTTGGCCAACCCTGATATAAACTCCCCAGCAAGACCTCCAAACCTCAAGTCCTTATGTATTTTAGCCCATCCAAAGAGAGAAAGAGAGAGACATATTTCTCCCATTCTTATACCAGTATAAGTAACCAAATGCTAGAAGTCTGGAATACGCTTTTATCATTCCTTATGTGAATTAAAAACTACAAATTATCACAATGCAAATGAGAAGCCCTCCAGGGTTATTGTACTAGGAATTATTCATAGATCTGATAGTCTACCCGTTTCTCTCAGAGTTATTTCAGGATTGCAGGAAACAGAGTATGTGCCTGACAAATTGTAGATAATACTTGTCAGACCTTCTCCTTCCTCCAGCTGGGTACCTGGCAAGGATCTGATTTGCCTCTCAGACTTATGTTGTAAGGGTAAGGACAGCCTGAAACTATGTAAGTATCTACAAGGCCTTGAAGTACTGCCATCTTTGGGAGACTAAAATCTCAAAATGACCTCTTTGGTCAGAGAGCAGGAAAATCCTGCGTCTCAGGATCTAATTTCATCTGATGATACCCGTCTTGTGGCCAAACAGAAATCCTACATTTGAATTACTGAAAGACATGGAAGCTTAGCCAGAGACTAGTTTGTTTTGGAACAATTACTAGGAACTAGGGATGTACTACAGCAGGCTTGTATTGGTTAAATTTTCAGGAACTTGTAGTGAACTTTGTTTTGCAGTTCTGGGGATAGAGTCCAGGGCCTTGACCCTGGCATTGACGATAGGCAAATGCTCTACCTCTGAACCAGCCTTGTGAATTTTTTAAAAGCTCAATCGTTCTTAAAAATTAAAGTGTACAAACTAATAATTAAATAAATTATATTAAAACAAAGGTAATAAATACTCAAAACTAATCAATACCTAATTATTTTACTACATCTTACTATTATCTCTATTCTCAGACTTATCTATAACTATGGTACTTCTATCATGGAAATAGTATAAAATGGTATGCTACTTTTTCCAACTCTGTGTCCAGGGAATGTCACATTGGTAGCTGAGAGGCATGCTAGGGGTATTTATACAATGGAAATAGGCAACTGTTTCTAGAGAACTGAATATGAATGATTCCCAGTACAACACTGCTTGGAGTTTTGCCTTGTGAAGCTCTGATAAAGGTAGGAAGTAACCAAATGTTCCTGTGAGTTAAGTAAGGACTGGAAAATGTTTAAAATCATACTGTCCAATATGGTAGCCACTAGCTACCTGTGGATATTTAAGTTTTAATTTAGATCTATCAAATACCGTGAAAAATTCAGTTCCTTGGCTGTATTGGCCACATTTCAAGTATTCACTTTTCACACATGGTTACCTTACTGGATAAAAACAAACAAACACAAGATTTTCATTTTTACAGAAAATTCTGTAAGACAGCACTGGCTAGAAACCGGGAGTTTCAATTCATGCAAATCATTTGGCACACTTTGTTGCTCTTATTATTCCAGTTTGGCAGCTATTATCCTCCATATAGGTAAAATTATGGAACATTTTCTAGGTGTCAGGCACAGTTCCTGGGATCCAGAGATGAATACAACATGGTCCTATTCATAGAAGATTACAACCTAGTGGGAAGATTAAAAGAAACCAAAACAAAACAGAAAACAAAAAAAAAAAATAGACTTGAAATATAATTTGTTAAAACCTAAGATAGAGGTATAGTAGGAGCCATGACAAAGGACACAATCCTACATGAGGATTCAAAAAAAGCTTTTAGGGCTGATTGTGCCTGAAATGCCTACAGCCAGGTCAAGAAAGGCAGAAAGTAGCTTCTGGCTAGAGGGAGCAGCAGGACAGATATGGAGAAATTAAATAGCATGATAATATGTTGGGAGAAGCTGAGTGGTGCTGGGCAACTGGGGTGTAAAGTAAATGGGGCAATGATAACAATGTGCCATACCATAGAGATGGACAGACCAAGCCATGGAAGATGGGGTCAGACCAAGGAGCTTGGTCTTGATTGTCAGGGCAACAGAGAAACTCAGAATGGCTTAATTGGAGGCAAATGGTAATACTGACCTTCCAAGTGATCTGACTACCATGTGGAGGCCAGATTTATGGGGAGCACTAGGGGGGCAATTTGAATACATTATGATAGAATAAATCCACTTGGGAGACAATGAAAGCTTGAATAGGTCAGTGAATATATGTTAGAAAGGAGAAAAAGAATAAAAAATACATAAAGGAAGTCAAATGATCAAGATTTGTTGACTGAGTGAAGTGAGTATTAAGCAAGAGGGATGAGTCAGAGAGGACTCCCAATTTGTGGTATGTGAGGCAGCTGGACCCTGTATCCACCATGTCCTTGAATGGGGCATAAAATGAGGATCTCAAGTCATATACCCCTTGGGAATTAGCCACAAAGCAGAGCCCCTCATGTTACTCATTTCCTGAGACCCATTCAGCATCTTTCAGTACTTTCCAGCCTGGAGTTAACAGGGAAATGAGAGGGCTTCCTTGGGTTCTTTCTCAGATGCATTCATGGAATACTGAATTGAATTATCATGCTATAGAAACCATGCAGTAGAAGATAAAATAGGGCAGCCAGGTTTGGGCTTCTGGAGGGATGGAGAGGCTTTGAGATCAGGTTTTATCACGTGGGGAGGTAATATCATCCTGAGGCAGAATTTGAAGTAAGCAGGTCAGTTGGGACTAAAGTAGAATATTTTTCCCACATTGTTTTAGAGTAGGACCACATTTTCCTTGGTACAATATTACACATATGGCTATGATGGAGGTCTGTTGTTACCAGAATGCTCAGCTTGTCTCCCACAGTGACAAAGAATGAAACCATGGATGAGAGGTAGGGTGCAAGCAAATTTATTTAAAAGATATAAAGGCAAGTAAGTAAAAGATATAAAGGCAAGGAAGCAAAGTTCTTGCTGGCCATGAGGGAATTCTGAATAGGATTGCCCAAGTATTTGTCTAGGAGTTGGTTTTTTGGTTTTTTGTTTGTTTGTTTGTTTGTTTTTGGTACTGGGGATCAAACTCGGGACCTTCCGCTTGCGAGGCAGGCAGCAGAACCACTGAGCTAAATCCCCAGCCCCATCTAGGAGTTTTTAAGGGATTTAAAAGGGAGTTTAGGCTGTTGAGTATGGAATATAATCTCTACCATATAAGAGACTATGAACTTTTTAGGGTCCAATGTATGCAGTGTTCACACAATGTTCATGCAGAGCCCATGTGCCCTTGTGCCAATGGACTGCCTGATCATGTTCTGGGGAGGTCCCAGACAGCCAAAGAACACCTGGCAGATGTTTTTTGTGAGATTTCTGAAGGGTCATGACTCAGCAATCTCCATTTTGGGCCTCCTAACTCCATTTTGTTGGAGTTGTCCTCACTCCACTGTCCTTACTGTCTAATAGCATCCTAATTCCCATCTTACTAATTCCTGTTACACTATCACAATAGGAAGAAGAGTAGAAGAGCCATCTAGAAAACTAAGAGTGATAAGAAGCCAAGAACAGCCAAGAGGAGTCATGAAGCATAAGCAAAACCAAAGAAGTAAAACACTTAGCCAAAAGACATCTCTTGTGATCCCTTAGGTTTTGGAAAGCTCTGAAGTCACCTCAAGGTAACTCATCACTAAGCTAGTCTGAACCATCAAAGAGTGAGTGAGTTCCAGCCTCTTCCAAACAGCAAGTCCAAGGTCTTTAAAGGAAAAATGGAGGAACAACCAGAATACTGTCTTATTTTTGTGTATATGAGTTGATGAAAGCTAGAATGGTATACAACTCCATACATTATACAATACAAAGAAAAGTGCCTTTATGTGGATTTCACTCCAACTTCCCAGCTTGGAAATCCTAAGTAAAGCCAAGCACTAATGTAAATATACCCACCTGCCCCATGGTCCTGGATCTTGTCCATGTGGTTCCTTTCCCAGGCTCTGGCTGACTATCCTATTCTCCTGATTATATCATGTACTAAACATCTTGTAAGAACTCTGGGCTGGATGCTTTTTTTTTAAAGCTCAGTCCTATAAGGAAATCCCCTTCTATTGTGGGTTTACTTTTTAATTCCTAAAGAACAGATGCTATGACAGAGTAATTTGGGGAAAAATAGGGCAGCCAAGGCCTAGGAATTGTACAGAATCAATATTTGAAAGGATTTCACTGGAGTCAATGTCAGAAACAGAAGGATAAACCAGGTCCCAGGTCATGAATTATACTTATTGAAACATTTTACCTGTATATTGGACCTTTTTATAAGAGTTTGTATCTTTGAAACTACCGTAAATCATACTCTAAATCTGGCCTGCGCTAATGTAATGTTTACTGGTAGACACACAATGTGCGAATATGTACTTTCCCAATATTTGTCATTAAAACACTGAAAAAGATCAATACTTTCAATGTCTATGGGAGGAATGAAAGAAGAATGAAGATGATGGAGAGATTATATTGATAAAATTTAATTTTGGAAACTTTAGTAAAGATAGCCCAGTGGTCCTCCAGTGTTACCAAAAAGCTAGGCAAACCAGAGTCACCTGGAGGCCTTCATAAAACACAGATTTTTGGGCCCATCTCATCTTCTGAAACATTAGATCTGGGATTTACATTTCTGGCAAGTTCTCAAGTGAAACTGATGATCCTTGTCTGCAGACCACACTTTGAGAACCTCTGGATTTCCCCGTGTACACCCACCCTCAATCCTACCCCTCAAAATCACCTTCAGTGTTAAGGCTTCAATGAAATCTTCTGGGTAAGGTATTTCCTGTCAAACTAGTTGACTCAGATATTCAAATTTAACATCTGATATTTAAACTGTCAACCAGTTTTCATTTCTGAAAAGGCAGAATAATTTTGTGAAAAATAGTGGTAGATTTCAGCAGTCTAGATATAGATTATTTTCTGTCCTTTCTGTGACCAACCAGGTACAAAACAGAGTTTCTCTAAATATATGCCACACTTCCCCAAATACATTTTCTGGATAAAGTTGAGAGGACTCAGACCAGAGGAAAAAAATGTTTTACTCTTACTTGAGCAAAACTGAACTACTGAGTATTATCATTACTCATTTTGGGGGAGAGGAGCCTGTTACCTCAAAAAAATTTTATGAAACTAAGATGTTATTTACTTATTTTTGCTCTCCTTCCTCTCACAAATGTATGGTGGAATTTTCCAGAAGCTACATGATAAGTGATGATGTCATCACTCTGATGTTAACATGTAACAAGTTTATTCCTGTTGTTTATAAAATAATTAAAAATTATATTTTAAACATTTCTTGCTCTTCATTACAAAATATGGTAAGTATTTCTGGATATGAATCTATATAAACAAAGCTCATTGAGAACTTCAATAGCTCTAATAATTTTTACTAACATAAAAAGGGCTGGGCAGGGCTGGGGATTTAGCTCAGTGGTTTTGCCGCCTGCTGTGCAAGCGCAAGGACCCAAGTTCGATCCCCAGTAACAAAAAAAAAAAGGGCTGGGCAAATGCTAGAAAGCACATAACATCATTGGACATTTCAGAAATGCAAATTAAAACTACAATCAGAGGGCTGAAGATATAGCTCTGTGATAAAGCACTTATGTAGCAGGCATGAGGCCTGGGTTCCATCCCCAGCATCACACACACACAAAAATAAACAAACAAAACTGCAATGAGATTAAGGTGACTTCATGCCATTAAGGTCTTTAAACAAAAAGAAAGAAAAGAACCTTCATACATTGTGATTGGGAATGTACAATGGTATGGTGACTATAAAAAACAGATTGATAGTTACTTAAAAACTTAGACACA